ACAACACTTTGACATACAGGAACACAACATCACTAGCAACATCCCCACACACGCAACCCCACAAGTAGACTCCAAACACATGTGGTTAGTTGTAAGGTTGTACATGTGGGGGATGCTGCTTGTGATGTCCTAAGAAAAATCAGTGGAAGTGTGTAATTAAATTTGCTTTTTATTTCTTTATTTTAATTGCTGGGGAGGCACGCCAGCAAGGGTTACTCCATCTAAAAACAGTGTTTATTAAAACACTGGTTTTGGTTGGATTAACCCCTTAAAAGTAAATCTGGCCATTTTGGGGGGCACTCAGTGATGTGGGAGTCAGGGATGTGTGGCTCTCACACAGCCATTCTGTGTGCTGGGCAGCTTCACATAATATATGTGTAAAAGCAGCAGAAAGAAGGGGGAGAAGAATAGCAGGGGACCAGAAAACCTTGTAGGAGGGTGGGCCCTTGATCACCCACTGCCCGAGGGCCCTGTGAGGTGTCAGTCCGCCCCTGCCCATGTCTCCCTGTGTCTTTCAGCGTCCCCATGTCTCTCAGTGTCCCCTGGTGTCCCAGTGTCCCCATGTCTCCCAGTGTCCCCTATTATTTGTATCCCCATGTCCCCATGTCTCAAAGTGTTCCGATGACACTAGGGAACACTTAGAGACATTGGGACACTGAGACACTGGGAGAGACTAGGGGACTCTGGGAGACTAGGGGACTCTGGGAGACTAGAGACACAGACACTAGGGACACTGAGAGACACCAGGGACACTCTGAGACATGGGGACACTGAGACATGAGGGACACTGGCTGGGAGACATGGGGACACTGAAAGACTAGGGGCCACTGGGAGACATTGGGCCACTGTGTCCCTAGTGTCTCAGGGTCCCCATGTTCCCCAGTGTCCCTATGTCTCCCAGTGTCCCAATGTCTCAGTGTCCCTAAGTCTCTCACCGTCCCCATGTCTCGCAGGCTCGGAGCTGCTGTCTGGACTCTCTGTGCATAGCTGCTCCCCCGCGGATCATTGTGTAGAGAGAGGCAGGGAGGGAGATGATGTAACTTCTTGTTCCTGCCTCTCTACACACAAACAGCGACCCCCTACTGGACGGCGCTGGTATTGCAGAATAATCTCTGTTTAGACAACCATTTGTATTGCTGGTATTACTGCAATACCGGCACCGGCTAGGCAGCCTCAAATACCTGAGAAATACTTTTGAGAAATACCTGTCAACCATAAGAAATACATGAGAAATACCTGAACCCGAAGAGTAGTGTGTAAAAAAAAAAAAAATGTAAAAAATATTTTTTTATTTTTTTTTTAGTCAATGGGCCTATTCCATGGGGCTGGGCCTGGGCTTTGAACTGCAGCTCCATCAGCCCCTATGTTAATCCGGCCCTGCTACTACTCATGCAGAAACATCTATAGACATCTGTAGACACAGTAACAGACACACATACACAATAATACACATAATACACATACACGCACTTACATATATTCCACTAGACTTGTCTAGTTTTGGCAATCATGAGAGCCTGATCCCACGTAGTTCAGCCTTTCGTGATGATTCCAATCAGTACTAAATATAAAACTGGCAGCAGGTGCAAGAATATGACTTCACAAATGGAAAAAATGTAGACTACAATAATAAAGCTTTGGTTGGAGAATTTTCCTAATCAACTATTTTTGCTTATTTGTTTTTGTTTTTCATTCAGACTAAATTTCCTACAATTCAACACTTTAAATGAATAACCCTGTTTGTTTTAACAAGCACAAGATATATTACAAAAAAAAGGTATATGGCGCAGGCAGATAGCCAGTTCTGCTGTCTCTGGTTTGTACACCCTCGCAAGAATGAGAGCTGCAGCTCATCAGCACTGAAAGATAAATTTCAGAAAGCAAGACAAAACATTATAAAATAGATGTCCAGTTTTATAAATATTTACCGAACGCAGGAACTCAAATACCAATAGAACACCTGCGGGGTACATCAAAGCATAGGGCACAGACAAGGTGCGATTTTTGCAAATTACAAAGGGCAACTATGGGAGAAAAGGCTGTTGAATAAAAAAAAAATGAATAGATTGTACAAATATGAATATGAATGTTAAGAATTTACAAAAAAGGGCTGAAAAATAAGAAGCACAATTCTTAGGACAGAATGATCTGAAGCTTAAATGTAAGATGAGAATTCGGGTATAAGTGTAAATTTAAAAAGAGAATGTAGGAAATGAATAACTTAATTATGAGAAGCTGAGAGATATAGAGATATAAGTTAACTGGCACAAAAACGAGATCAAGGCATATATCACAATAAATCGGTAATAAATGGAGATATTGCAGTTTCAGAGACGAGCATCAAAATTAAAGTGGTAGCCAAAAAAAAGTAAAACAGAACAAATTGTGATGGGAAGATGTTGCAGCGCTGAAAAATAGGTATAGATTGAAAAACGATGGCTAGAATGCAAAGAAAAGTGTAATGGATGAAAAAAAGACAAAATTAATAAATCACACCAAATCTATGCCACAAAATAAGAAGCAAAAGTAAAGGTGACAATTTCATAAATCTCCCCCATTGTTGTTTTTCGCTATTGGACAGCTAGTAAAGGCAGAGCTTATATCAACGATTGACAGAGAGCTAAGGTGGATGCACTCCGCTCCAGGTAGACTTGGGAATTAATTTCTTTACGAACTGCAATTCGTCTGATTTTGCACTGATTGGGTGATCATACGAATTCCTGAACTTCGAGCCAAAATGCAGCAGAATTACAAATAGCTCAATTAACGAGCAGGTTCATTTTCATTCGTGATTTGGAATTCCACCCGTAAAGCCAACAAAAGAGAAGATTGATGGAAAAAAGGTATGACACCAAAAAAAAAAAAAATTTAAAAATATCACGCAGTATATACATTTGCAAACGTTGAATAGATTACACTTGTCCTTTAAATCAGGTAACATTTTTGGATGACAACGGTATGCTACAAGAATCACCTAATTAATTAACACTGTCACCACATGAAGACATTTACACAAACACACAAACGCAAAATGTAAATCTTACTGAAGCGTGCAGTTTTGATGAAGCGTTTCTTTCATTGCCTGGCGCTGTTCCTATAATGAATATACATTCTTTAAATTAAAGCTAACTTGGGTCCTTACAATAATCCCATTCTTTTTAAATATACATTCACGGCTTAATATGATATAAATACGGAAAATTCTTCTATTACGGCAAAACAGCCAGAACCAAAGCTCGTGGAAAACAGGACTTGAAAATGTACTTTTCTATCAAATAAATTAACACAAATTAGTCACTGAATGGAAATATTTTTAAACACTCTGCATTCATGCGTACCAGTAAAAAAGTGGCTTCCTTCGAATCTTGCCCAGAGCTAAATCAGAAAATGTGCAGGTCTATTCTTAATGTTGTATAAATCCACGTGTACTTGTTGTACATAATTACAATATACCCCTGGGAAAGTCTGTACATTTTGTACCTGTGTGTGCTTATTTGTGCTTTACAATAGTTTTTGCTAATGATCTCGAAGGCACTGAATATGTGGGCACAGCTTGTTTCTGTTGGGTCAAATTTATGGGCATTGCGAGCAAACCACCAACATGAATTGCCATTAGTAACAAACAGAGTGATAACCTTCTCACCTTCTCAGGTTCTTAATAAGGTCTTGGAAACACTCTGTTCAAATATCGTATACATTTTTATATATATATTATGTTTTTTTTTAATATCTCAGGGTCACAAATGTACCTCGGTTTGGACACGAAATATTGTCTCGAAGCTAAGTAAACGTTTTTGCTAGACACGGCGGCATTTTAAAGCCCATGAGCAGAAGTGATTATAACTTCCAACAATGTAGCTATTTAACCTCTCGAGTGTAAAGTCCCAAGATGCATTGCTATCATAAGATTAAGAAAGTCCAGTGGCTCGTTAACAAGGAAAGGACGTACAAAGACTGTCAATTTGACACTGCACCTGCACAAGTCGGAAAAAAACAAACGGTGTAAAGAGAACCTGTAATTTCTACCTGTTACGTTGATTGCTGTCACTGTCAATCATTTGCCATTTTGCCTTTGCAATAAGTGCATTATATGTGGTGTTGTGATTGGACGGAAAAATATTTTTTTTCCATCTAGTTGCCATAGCAACCCTTTTTAGGCTAAGTCAAAAGCAGATGCTCCAAAATACTCACAGATTGCCTGTTTATTGTATATGTAGCCCTGTTGTGTTCAGTTTCAGGAATGGAATAGAGGCTACAAAACTGTGGCTTTTCCGCTGGTGCGACCTACGTATGCGGTACCTAGGGGTGTGGCTCACACCCACCCCGGGAGACCTTTACATCCACAACTACCTCCCTATACTAAAAAAAGCAACGGAGGAACTAAATAAATGGAGCTCCCTCTACGCATCGTGGCTAGGAAGAGTAAACGCTACTACCGAAACTTCTCTTCGTGTTCCAAACGGTGCCGATACTAGCCCCACAAGCCTTCTTTAAGACGCTATGGGTGGAGGTCCGCAAGTTCGTATGGAAGGGCAAATCCCCACGCATAGCACACGCTCAACTAACCCTGCCTAAACTCCAAGGAGGCCTGGTGCTCCCTGATTTCGAAAAGTACTACCAGGCAGCGCACCTCACCAGAATCGTCAGCTGGTCGGTCGCCAGCGGAACGAAACCATGGACCCAGCTATAATCCGACATCACTGACTGTGACCTTCGCACGCTACCGTGGATACCCAGAGCCGCGTACAAGCATAAACACATTACTAACCCATTCGTGGTGGCGACCATGAAAATCTGGCACAGGCAAGGCACGAAGCAATACCTCACGACGGATCCAGGCCCGCTACTGCCGTTGAGAGGAAACCCAGACTTCCCAGCAGGAGGCCACGGCCCCACGCCAGGCCCGAGGGGACGCACAACGATTCCCCGCATGATGGATGTCCTCCAACGCCCATTTGAAGTCCGCAGCATCACAGACCTTTTTCCAGATAGAACGCTCACCTTTGCACACACACTGGCGAGAGCACAAATAGTAGGATATGCTCGGTCTATCCCGCAAAAACCATCATTACTGAGAGACCCCACACAATTCGAACTACTCTGTACGCAAGAAACCGAAACCCCACGTGCCATTTCACAGATATATGCAATGCTGGTTACAGGAAGGTATATACTGGCACCCCCTTGTATGAGAAACTGTGAGGAAGACCTGGAAGAACCCATGACAGAAGCAGCCTGGGACAAAAACATCACCCTGATACAAAAAACACCTAGCTCGGCAAGGCTGCAAGAAAACTCATACAAAATATACACCAGATGGTACTTGACACCGACGGCGATCCACGCCAGGAGTCCGGAAGCCCCAGACTCCTGTTGGAGATGTGGAAAAGAGAGAGGAACATTCATACACACCTGGTGGACGTGCTCACGACTCCGACCATTCTGGAACACGATTAGAGAGGTAATACATGAAGTAACGGACGAAATGCTTCCAAGTTCCCCAGCAACGTTCCTCCTACATCACACGGATATGTCTATCCCCACATACAGTAAATCTGTCATCCCACAGCTCTTAAACGCAGCCAAAGCAACGGTCCCAATATACTGGAAGCAGGCCACCACACCCTCCATCGCAAGATGGGTAAAAGAGGTGGAAGCAACCAGGAAATTCGAAGACGTGAAGGCAACCACCCTGAACCTTAGAGATCGCTACACCAAACGCTGGTTTCACTGGATTAGACTAACCACCTCTGACGCTTTTCGGAACCGCATGGCGACACAGTAGACGAAGGAGGAGAGTATTAAGCCAAAATAAATACGGCACTAACATGGAAAGTTGGGGACCGGCGAACCGAGACGGCGACAGGGGTTGGAATCACCCACCATCACCAACCCACAACACCCACATACACATACACGACACACGACTTGCCACCACATATAGACGTATATCCAAAGGACAACTGGAGGCGGGACAATGAGCAGGTCAGTCAGGGACATACACAAGTGAACACACAACACATACGAGCGGCAGCGTGCCAAGACTTCAAACTACGCAGCCTGAACCAAGACCCACTACAAACACACGGACGGCCAAGACATAGAGCAAACGGCTACTGCGGTCAGATAGCACCAGACGAGAGTTGCGAAACCACACGATCTGAGCGCCACACACATCCACAGCCCAAACACAGACCTTTTTGATCCACCCCAAAATCCACAGGACAACACCACAACCACGCACACAGGTGAACCCATCTCAACGCGACGGCACCACGACACACAGACAGTGACTCGGACACACAAACCGGAATCACAAAGACGCAACAATAGAGGCAGACACACAGAGCTCCAGAATAAAGCAACACAACATAGACATAACCATGGAAACACGCAATAGAGGAGACACAGACTTACCGCAGAAGGTTTCACCATTACTAGCAGAGGGGAAGGACACGAAACGTACAAAACAAATACAACCCCAATATACACGAGCTGGTAGCCACGAGACACACTAGAACTCAGGGCTGCAGACAAAAGGCCAGAGCGCGCAAACACTAACTCATTTTCGCAAGATGGGCCTTCACTGCAGTTTATGGCAACAGGGATAAATACGCAAACACAGGCATCTCAGAAGAAAACAGTGTATTATTAACATATGTCACCCACGGTGCACTCCCCAAATAAGGAAGTCGTCAGTTAAATATAAAGTGTGGAATGTACATCTATGGTACCCTTAAGAGCTAAAGTTCACGGACAAGGGCCGTGACACATCACACGCAAGGATACATGACATTAGTGCTACACTGCTTAAAACCGCTGACTCAACGACTGGATCCCATACCCAGAGCACCTAAGACCACACCCCCGCAGGGTAGTGCCTATAACACATCAGTCCATGTCGCATACCTAACGGCAAAATGTGCGAGACGCACCTTAATGAAAACACCCATTAACGAGCCACACTAGCATCATTTAATGAGTTGATAGCTGAATACATGTTACTAACTGCCACCCCTAATTGCCACTACATACCTGACAACAACGCCCTAACAACGCAGTACCAAGCAAGCTCACCACCTTCTGCATGTCTAGCTTTGCAAGGCTTATGAATATCTAATATTTGTCATTGCGTGTTTATTTTGACTTCTACGCCTCTGCGCAGGCAACTATGTGTTACTCTGAGCTGACTGGAATATGTCGGCCTCACATTATGTACACTTTCAATATGCACGCCTCTGCGTAGGCAACTATATGCATTAATGATACCAAGTTCAACACCCGTGTTTATATTGATGACAATAAACATATTTAAAACAAAACTGTGGCTTTTAGGAGAAGGGCTAAAGTTCTAAATCTCCCCGAAGGAGAGGTCACAAATTTCCTGCTCAGATAAATAGATTTGCTGGTTATGTCTTACAGGGATATTTGTTAAAGTGTGCGTTGTGTGCTGTGAATTTGTCTAATTTTTAGTCCAAAATCCAATTTGTCTATTATGGCGTCAAATCAGAAATCCTCTTTGAATAATTAGGTTTTATTCAGAATGGGTTCTGTAAAGAGGCTCGGCTTTGGACATAACAGGCAGACAGAGAGGTTCTCCCCAGTATAGCTAACTGTAGCCATCACTGTAAATTACCCTTTTCTCAAGACTTTTCCAATTGTGGAGTTTAACCCACAAATTAGCACCATGGCATTTTTATTTTGCGAATAGCATAGATTATCACCAACGAATTACTTACAATGCAGTCAGACTTTAGGTAAATTAAAGTCTTTACTTTTCAGATGAGATAAAGTTGGTGGGCAACCGGTTAAAGGAACACTGCAAGCACTATAACCACTACAGCGCAGTGCCTCAGTGCCCCCAGCGATGCAGGGCTTAACTCATTGGCTGAGAACATCTAAAATTCTTTCACCTTTTTTGTTTTGTTTTAGTTGGATTCAATGCTATTCCATCTGTGCTAACATTTTTGTTTTTGTACTTGGGCCAATCTTCTGTAAAATAAGAAGTGTGTAATGTAAAGTTGTCAGCAATAAAGCACATGATTTAAATATGCGGTGACCCCCAGATCTTTTCATCTGTAGAAAACTTTTAAGAGGTTCTTTAATTCTCTCAAATTATTCTTTTTATAGGGAATTGAGATAGACTGTCAGCCAGCTGTTCGCAGCCATCTGCTGAATCTGAATCATCTTAAATAAGCCACAGATATGTGGACGTTTCCAGCTATAAAGCTCAATCCGTAGTGGTCATTGCTTTAGCAGAATACTGATTATTTTGCAGAGCTTTTTATTTTGAATGATAACTTTTCCATACATTCTTGCTGGGGCCAAGTAGATAACATCCTATGATATCAGCAGACATTTAGAGAAACACCAAGCAAGATAACCACCTATCTGGGCACAGCTGCCCACCTCCTCTCAGTGTCAGACATATTATGCCAGAAAATACTTTCACAAAATATTAATTGTAATATTTCGTACCACAATTATCCCTGCATCAGGAGAGCTAACGGAAGGTCCTGCTTAGGTACTGCTCAGTTAGTGGAAGACTCACCTAAGAGGTTTGCCATGACACAGGAGGTGAGCTTACACTTTAATGGCCATTGGAGTGGTACAAAAAATATCCTGTTATTTAAACATGTGTATAGATTTGGGACAGTGCCAAGATATCTGTTTCTGGTTTCACTGCTGATGTAGGGCTCAGCTCAGAGTTGAGAGCTTAAAAGTTGAGAGCTTATGACTAAGAAGAGGACAGAAGCAGAGCCCTGTAGACCCCAGAGAACTTGACCTATTAAGGTTGTTACAACGTTAAAGCCATTGTGCATATTTGGGCTTTAATGCCCCATGTCGGCACGAAACATCATAGAGTTCCAGCTCGAGCATGGTATTTTCCTGTATGGTGGTCAGTATTAGGGAAAAATTAACTATAAGATGACACTGTGGCTGGCCCCGGGCCAAAGGCTAGATGTTGGCCTCACAACCATTGCTAGCTTGGTCTTATTCACTAACCTTATGTGAAGAATGAAGGGAGAGGAGGGGGAGATGGTAACCTGCCTTGGGTCCTGTGAGATCTTAATTCTTGTTTGCTCAATATTGCAAATAGTATGAATGCTAAAATTTTAATCTGAGCAACCATATCCTAATTAGTGATGTCGCGAATTTTTCGCAGCTTCAATATGGATGCTGTCCAGGAGGTGGGAGGATCTGGGAGGGAGGGTCTGCTGCATATTGGCCGGGATATGTCAGCTAACTGGAGTCCGCCGCAAACGTTTTTGCCGCGAACCGTTCGCGAACAATTCGCGAACAATTCGCGACATCACTAATCCTAATTGGACATCAAGGTGTTGCAAAAAGAAATTGGTAAAAAAAAAAAACTAATAATAATATATCCCAAAGTGTTTACTTTTATTAATTCAGAGCTATTTAGGAACTTTAACATCAAAATTGGAAATTTGAAAAGTGCAATTAGTGGCTCACTAATTTGTTCCTGTGACTTTGCAAAAAAAAAACTTGGCAAAGGGGATGTAGCCAAGCACAATTTGTGGTTGTTTTTTTTTTTTTTTACAGCACACATTACGTTTACGAAATAAACAGCAAGATACTGCAAAGTTCATAAAAATAAATAACACAAACAAAGTAAAAATATGGACAAAAGTAAATATAAGACTCAAACTATCCCATCTGAGATTACCTGAGGCTGAATATCACACAAGAGTCATTTGAACTGAGAAGCTCAAAATGAGATGAAGAACTATAAAATGAATCTATTAAAATTCAAGGTTTTAAAACTGAATTTAGCAATTATGTAATTTGTTCCTACAACTCCTAAATCCTACTTAAATTATAAATAAGAGTAATTCCTGTACCATAGTTTATGTTATTCGGGTAGCACACACCAGGTTTACAAAGTAAACTGTGTGAGAAACACAATAGTATTACAACTTTTAGCAGAGATTGGTGGAAGAATGGGCAGATAAAAAGTACAAAAATAGACCTACACAAATACCCTAGAATATCTACATTATAATAATAAGATCTACTTTTGTGGGGCATGTTTGTTGCTTTGTTTGATTGTTATATATTTTTCCAGCTCGGCAGTTTTTCCCTAAATTGTCCAATTCAGTTTTAAATTAACTAGAATTCTGCGTTATTCAACAGTCCCTTGCAAGGTAAATATTCTACATTGTGAAAACTTTAAAGGAAAACGCAATGCATTGTAAACGCTACAATAAATCAGTTGTTACGGTGCAGGGAATCTTTGGGTGCAGTATTATTTGATTGAGTCTAACAAGGGAACTAGAGCTGGACACCTATAGCGTGCTGAGAT